GCAAGGCTGATTTCTGCAATGAGTGCGTCTAGTTTCAGCTGAGTATCTCTTTAGCCTTCCACAACTTCAAGTGCAGATTTTCCAGAGATCAAGAGTCAAGGCTGTCTCTACTGTTTATTTCACCTTTTTTCTTGTGTGTCTACCTTAGACACAGAGACCAAGACAATAGTACAACACCAAGGACACATTCATTATCTCTCCTTGCCCCTTCTCCCTCTCCCCACCTCAAGATATAAGATAAACTCCAAATTGGCCATCAGTGCTCTGGCTCTTTCCCCTGATCCCTGCAAAATCTCTCACCATACACCTCCAGCTTTCTACTTCACTGAGGGAGGAGACTGGAATCTGCCTCAGCTGGCTGTAAGAGATTGAGGAGCAGAGATGGGTGAGGTATTTGGTGCATGGAAGCTCAGGCTAGGTTGGTGGTGGGGGCCTGCCACAGTGGGCTGGGTGCCCTCCTTGGTGATGATGATGGAATGCTGAGTAGAGGAGGAGGAAGAGGAAGCATGTCTGTCCGCCCTGGCCTGGACCTTGGGAAGGTAATGGACCACAGCGCTCAGCAGCCGGTCCCGGAAGCTTGGGCTGAGAAAGTTGTAAAGGATGGGATTGACGACACAGTGGAGCATGGAGAAGCAGTCGATGACATCGTAGAAGAAATAGAGCACGTGGGCCAAGTAGCAGTGGAGGGAGACATGGGTCCCGTGCAGTGTGAGCAGCAGCAGAGTCACATGGTAGGGCAGCCAGCAGATGACAAAGACGGCAATGTAGGCACACACCAGCAGGCAGTGGCGCCGGCCCTCCTGTCGTCCTGCCTGCCGAAGACGGCAGGCTGTCAGCATGTTGAAGATAAGGATGAGAGGGAAGGGCAGCAGGAAGCCCAGGACAGTGGTGGACAGGGTCACTGCCAGGGCCCATGTACTGTAGGTTTCAAAAGGGGCCATGAAGAGGCACATGGGCTCAGAGCTCTCCACCAGCTGGATGTGGACCACCTCGGGCAGCGGGATGATGGCCGAGAGCACCCAGACGCCTGCACACACCGCCCGCCGCACTCGGTGCTGATGACGCTGCCAGGAGGGAGAGGCATGGGTGAGGGTGACATAACGGTCGATGCTGAGGCACACCAGGAAGAAGATGCTGCTGTACATGTTGGCAAAGTAGAAGTAGTGAGTGAAGCGGCAGGAGAAGCTGCCCCAGAGCCAGGTGTAGTCTAGTGTGACCTCCAGCATCCACACAGGCAGGGATAGGACGATGCCCAGGTCCGCTATGGCCATGTTGAGGATGTAGAGGCTCAGCAGCCCCGCCCGGCCCGAGCAGCGCCAGTTGACCCAGATCACGAGGAGGTTCTCCACCAACCCAACCACGAAGATGGCCAGGTAGATGATAAAGAGGGCCACTCGCTTGGTGCTCTCGCTGAGCTCCATGTGGCACTCAGGCAAAGTATGGTTGAAGAAGTAGAGCAGTTCAGTCCAGTTGTGGATCTCTCTTATGTCATTGGCAGGCCCTGCAGTGACCCCCTCAGAGAAGCCAGACCCCATGCTGGTCGCGACTGACATGAGGACCAGCAAATGCCTAGTGGGGAGAAGAGAGAGTTGGAAGAGAAAGGAGACCTGGAAAATAGCCTCATGTTTCCCAGGTAATAGGTCATAGGA